AGACTTGTTTCTATCACTTGGTGCAACAACATTTGTTTCCGAAAGAAGTAGCACATCTCCCAGATGTGAACCCAGCCTTCCTACAATCCGCCGCACATTTACCATCACCGTACGTCGGCGAACAAGTGTTCTTGCACATATCATCAATTCTCCCAGAAGGTTTGATCTCTGCATGTCCACAAAGTCACCACATATTAATATCGTATATAATCATATCTACGTTCTTGCTTTGAAACGATGAAACCTAATCAGAAAACATTACCTGAAGCCAAGATGTTGTAACTGGAAAAAGAAGCTGAAATTATAATCAAGAGTAAGAAAGTCATCGAAGTGTTGGTGTTGCCCATTTTCTTGCTTGAAGTATCAAACTATAAAGTTTATTTACAAAATATGTTATGTGAGTTTCTAGATTATAAGTAGAAGCTATATTTATAGAACATTAAGGTTTTTGTGATTGTCAAAAAGAAGTTTACAATTGATGGATCTTCCATATATATGAATAAATTTGTAGTTTGACTAAAAAATATTTTTATATATATTGGTGCATGTATATGGATCTTCCTATATAATAAATAATATTTTACTCACTAAAGAGATTTTTTTCTTAATTCTTTTTTTTTGTTTTCAAAAACAACGTTGACCCATATCATATATCATATCGAAATAGGTTAAAGAACCGGGTTCAGATAATAGCTAAGATATTTTGTTTAAAATTAGATGGTTTCTTAGTTATGATTTATTTTCTTTTTTGACAACTCTTGATGTGCAAATTCTGGCTTATGTACCCAGCCATGGCTCAAGAAATTAGAATGCCCTTGGGCAAAAAAATGTTTTTGGCCTTTTCTCTAATTTATGCTAACGAAATTTTAATTTGTGTGCCCATAAAACATGTTTTTAAAGATATTTTTATACATAAATTGGCATTTTCACATTTGAAAAGAAAAACAAAATGAAAAATGGACCTAATGTTATTTTTTGTCACCTATTCTACTACTTTACAATAAAAATGGGCCCTATAATCTTAGAATAGTTTTTAAAAACTAAACTGGCTTTACGCCATTGCCCCTTTGTCCACCTTAGTTGAGCCAGACCTGTATGTACTACTTCATGTAGCCTTTCTCGTGCCAGCGAGACAAACAGCCATGACCAGCTTATCAACTTCATTTAGTCCTGTGACTATGACCAACTTGTCTACAATCTCCCATCATGGAAATCCGTTAGAAAAACTTTGATCTCACATGTGTTAAATCGCTTATTAGCCTTTGCCTCAAAACTCTCTATGATCTATTATCTATCTTTATATGCCCTGCTTGATTTTTTTCTTAAACTTTGGATTTATATATATTTCTCTTTGTACTAATATTTATGATTAAATGAATCAAGTTTTTGCCGAAACAAAATGAGAAGTATATTAGAAGCTAATCTTGAAGTTGCAAATAACGACACGGTACTTTGCTCTGCTATCACAAGGAGAAGCTTTATCATAAGACCTTGTTGCCTAATCATTTTCAAAATAATACCAACGAAAAAAATAACATAACTAATATCTTTTTTCGATTTTATAATAGTTACAATCATTTGTAAACGTAACATATAGTTCACCTTAAGGATATTTTGTTTTACTTTTTCATTATCTTTAATTGTTACCAAACCTAAATCCAGAGTAATTTTAACAAGTCTACAGAAATCATAATTACCTAATCATTTTCTCCGCTTTAAATAACTGGAATCGCAATAAAAGAGATGTATGGTGATAGTAGTTCAGACTTTCGATTAAGAAAACTACAATCGTCAAATAATTTTATATTTTCTCATTTAATTTTTTATTTGTGGAAAAACAACAAAAGAAAATAAAACATATTAATGTAAAGACAAGATCGGTTTCTATCACTTGGTGCAACAACATTTGTTTCCGAAAGAAGTAGCACAACTCCCAGATGAGAAGCCAGCCTTCCTACAATCAGCCACACATTTATCATAGTCGTACATTGGCGAACAAGTATTCTTGCACATATCATCAATTCTCCCAGAAGGTTTGATCTCTGCATGTCCACAAAGTCACCACATATGAATATCATATATAATCATATCAACGTTCTTGCTTTCAAACGATGAAACCTAATCAGAAAACATAACCTGAAGCCAAAATGTTGTAACTGGAAAAAGAAGCTGCAACTATAATAAAGAGTAAGAAAGTCATCGAAGTCTTGGTGTTGCCCATTTTCTTGCTTGAAGTATCAAACTATAAAGTCTATTTAAAAAATATGTTATATGAGTTTCTAGATTGTAAGTAGAAGCTATATTTATAGAACATAAAGTTTTTTGTGATTGTCAAAAAGAGGTTTACAATTGGTGGATCTGCCATATATATTAATAAATTT